CCCCCTGACCCTCCCGGTGCCCCCCCCGGTACCGTGAAGGCTCCGCCGGCGGTGGTGATGTAGATGGTGTACTGCTTCTCGCTCACCTCCTCCAGCCCCGCCGCCGCCTCGGGGCCCGGCCCCGGAGCCTCCTCCAGCGCGATGCGCAGCGCCAGGTACTTGGAGAGGTGGTCAACCGTGGCGTTGGCCGTCGTCTTCACGTACCTGGGCCGCGAGGAGGAGGAGAAAGAGGAGGAGGAAGAGGAGAGGAAGAGAGAAGAAGGAGGAAGAGAGAAGAAGGAGGAAGGAGAAAGAGGAGAGGAGGAGGAAGGAGAAAGAGGAAAGGAGGAGGAAGGAGAAGGAGGAGAGGAGGAGAAAGAGGAGAGGAAGAGAGAAGAAGGAGGAAGGAGAAAGAGGAGAGGAGGAAGGAGAAAGAGGAGAGGAGGAAGGAGAAAGAGGAGAGGAGGAAGGAGAAGGAGAGAGGAGAGGAGGAAGGAGAAGGAGGGAGGAGAGGAGGAAGGAGAAGGAGGGAGGAGAAGAGGAAGGAGAAGGAGGAAGGAGGAAGAGGAGAGGAGGAGGAAGGAGGAAGAGGAGAGGAGGAGGAAGGAGGAAGAGGAGAGGAGGAGAGAAGAAGGAGGAAGGAGAAAGAGGAGGAGGAAGAGGAGGAAGGAGAAAGAGGAGAGGAGGAGAGAAGAAGGAGGAAGGAGAAGGAGGAAGGAGAAGGAGGAGAAGAAGGAGGAGGAAAGGAAGAAGAGAAGGAGGAGGAAAAAGAGGAGAGAAGAGGATGAAGAAGAGAGGAGAAAGGGGAGGAAGGAGTAGAAAGAGAAGGAGGAGAAAGAGAAGAGAAGGAGGAGGAAGGAAGAGGAAAGGAAGAAGAGAGGAAGGAGTAGAAGGAGAAAGAGGAGGAAGGAGAAAGAGGAGGAAGGAGAAAGAGGGGAAGAAGGAAGAGGAAAGGAAGAAGAGAGGAAGAGGAAGGAGTAGAAAGAGGAGGAGAAGGAGGAGAGGAAGAGGAGGAAGGAGAAGGAGGAGAGGAAGAGGAGGAAGGAGAAGGAGGAGAGGAGGAAGGAGGAAGGAGAAAGAGGAGAGGAAGAGGAGGAAGGAGAAAGAGGAGAGGAAGAGGAGGAAGGAGAAAGGAGAGGAAGAGGAGGAAGGAGAAAGGAGAGGAAGAGGAGGAAGGAGAAGGAGGAGGAAGGAGAAAGAGGAGAGGAAGAGAGAAGGAGGAGGGAGAAAGAGGAGAGGAAGAGAGAAGAAGGAGGAAGAGGAGAGGAGGAGAGAAGAAGGAGGAAGGAGAAAGAGGAGAGGAGGAGAGGAGGAAGGAGAAAGAGAGAAGAAGGAGGAAGAGGAGAGGAGGAGAGAAGAAGGAGGAAGGAGAAAGAGGAGGAGGAAGGAAGAGAGGAGGAGGAAGGAAGAGAGGAGGAGGAAGGAAGAGAGGAGGAGGAAGGAAGAGAGGAGGAGGAAGGAAGAGAGGAGGAGGAAGGAAGAGAGGAGGAGGAAGGAAGAGAGGAGGAGGAAGGAAGAGAGGAGGAGGAAGGAAGAGAGGAGGAGGAAGGAAGAGAGGAGGAGGAAGGAAGAGAGGAGGAGGAAGGAAGAGAGGAGGAGGAAGGAAGAGAGGAGGAGGAAGGAAGAGAGGAGGAGGAAGGAAGAGAGGAGGAGGAAGGAAGAGGAAAGGAAGAAGAGAGGAAGAGGAAGGAGTAGAAAGGGAAGGAGGAGAAAGGAGAGAGGGGAAGGAAGAGGAAAGGAAGGAAGAGAGGAGGAGGAAGGAAGAGAGGAGGAGGAAGGAAGAGAGGAGGAGGAAGGAAGAGAGGAGGAGGAAGGAGTAGAAAGAGAAGGAGGAGGAGGAAGGAGAAAGAGGGGAAGGAAGAGGAGGAGGAAGGAGAAAGAGGGGAAGGAGGAAGAGGAAAGGAAGAAGAGAGGAAGAGGAAGGAGTAGAAAGAGAAGGAGGGGAGAGGAGGAGGAAGGAGAGAGGGGAAGGAAGAGGAGGAGGAAGGAGAAAGAGGAGGAGGAAGGAAGAGGAAAGGAAGAAGAGAGGAAGAGGAAGGAGTAGAAAGAGAAGGAGGGGAGAGGAGGAGGAAGGAGAGAGGGGAAGGAAGAGGAGGAGGAAGGAGAAAGAGGAGGAGGAAGGAAGAGGAAAGGAAGAAGAGAGGAAGAAGAAGGAGTAGAAAGGAGAGAAGGAGAAGAAAGAAGAAAGAGGAGGAAAGAGAAAGAGGAGGAAAGAATAGAAAGGAGACAGGGAGGAGGAGGAAGGAGCAGAGGGGAGGAAGGAAGAGGAGATTAAGAAGAGGAGGAAGGAATAGAAAGGAAAGGAGGAGGAAGGAAGAGGGAGGAGGAAGAGTGGGGAGGAAGGAAGAGAGGAGGGAGAAGAAGAGAGGAGGAAGAGGGAGGAGGAGGAAGAAAGAGGAAAGAAAGAGGAAGAGGGTATGAAAAGAAGAAGAGGAAGGAGTAGGGAGGGGAGGAGGAAGAGAGAAGAGGAAGGAAGAGAGGCAGAGGAGGGAGAGATGTGAGTGGGAAGAGAAAGAAGAGGAGGAGGAAGAGGGGAAGAAGGAGGAGAAAGAGGAGAGAAGGGAGGAGGAGAGGGAAGGAAGAGGAGGAAGCAGATGAGAAAGGAGAAGAGAGGAAAAAGGAGATGAGATAGAGGAGAAAAAGATGGAAGAGGAAGAAAAGGACAAAAAGGAAGAAGAGAGAGGAAGGAAGAGGAAGAGGGGGAAGCCAGAGGAGGAAGGCCTGAGGCTGGTGGCACCCACCCTGGGGAGCTGGGGTGGGGGTTTTGAGAGTGCTGGAGCCCCTGCCTGCCCCAGTGCATCCCTGCCCTCATGCGGTCCCTGCCTGTCCTCGTTCCTGCCCTCATCCCATCCCATCCCATCCCTGCCCTCATCCTGGTCCTGCCTTCATCCCATCCCTGCCCTCATCCCATCCCTCCCCTCATCCCATCCCATCCTGCCCTGCCCTCATCCCTGCCCTCATCCCATCCCATCCCTGCCCTCATCCCATCCCATCCCTACCCTCATCCCTGCCTTCACCCCATCCCCTC